GTCCGAGTCCCCGTCCCACCCCCGCCAGGACAGAGCCCAGGCGTCCGAGACGCGCGCAGCCAAGGAAGAAGCCAGGCGTCTGCGCTCCCGGACCCCGCAGCTAGTACAGCCCGCGTGTCCGGGCTCCCACCCGGGTTACGTATTTCCAGGTCCAAAAAGAGGACACATGGCAGGGGGGGGGGGGCTGCCGCCCCCGGTTTTCCCCGCGGGAGGGGCAGGCACCCTCCAAGTCCCGCCCTGGTGCAGCTCCTGCCCCAGCCCCTGCCCTGCCCGAACGCCCAGGACTTCGCTTTGCTCCGGGGTGGGAGCAGGGGGAGGCGACTGGAGGCAGCAGAGTACACCGCCTGGGTCAGCCGCCTCCACAAGCTGCAGGCGGGTCCGTCTGTGCTCTCCGCTCCCACCAGCGGAGCAAAGGAAAATCTTGGACATTTGAGCAGATTTAAAAAACCCACCCGGACAGAGATCAGAGGGCTCAAAAAGAGGACGTGTCTGGGAAAACCCGGACAGATGGTAAGCCAGGGCTCTTGGCTCCTGGAACAACCTCTTCCCCCATCCAGGATAGAACCCAGGAGTCCAGGCTCCCTGAACCAGCCCACCCCCATTCTGGATAGGACCCAGGTGTCCAGTGTCCTAGGACTCCTTCCCAGTTGGGGCAGAACCCAGGCATCCAGGGTCTCTGGGTCCCTCCTGCCTGGGGCCTCAGATGCCTGGCTTCCCTCCCCGAGGCACAGACAGAGACAAGTAGAGACTTTGCCAGAGCAAATCACCAGCCTTTATTACCCCAAGGGCCAGGCCCAGCCTGGGGGAACCACCCCAAACAGAACCCAGGAGTCCGGCATAGCACTGGTTTCCCACCCACCCAGGCCCTGGCAGCCCCGGGGAGGTGGGGCTCAGGCCTGGGGGGATGTGGGGGGATCCTTGCTGGGGTCCTCGGGGGCCTGGGTGCCAGGGCCAGTGCTGGTCAGGGTCTTCGCTGGGGACAGGCTCATCAGTGGGGGTGGGCCTACGGGCACAGCAGATTCAGGGCTGGGCATCCGCTGGGCCCCCAGCCCAAACCCCGTACACCCTATCCCAGCCCCCAACCTGTGCCCCCCATACCAAGAGCAAACCTTCGCCCCCCAGCCCCATACTCCCTGGCTCCCCCTTTGTGCCCCAGCTGCAACCCGTCTCCACCCTCGACCCCAGGTCCAGCTCCTTCCCCATGCCCCCGCCTTAGCCCCCTGTGCCCCCTTCCGTGCCCTCTACCCCAGCTCCAGCCCCCTGGCACAGTCCCATGCCCGCACCGAAATAGCTGAGCAGCACGGGCAGCAGTACTAGCCCGTGGACCAGGCCCAGTAGCGTGACGATGAGGTTGAGGCGGAAGAAAAAGATCTGCACCAGCCGTGCCCGTGCGAATGCCAGCACCACGATGCCTGGCAGGTTGGTCATGGCCACACCTGCCACCACCTAAGGGGCAGGGATCAGAGGGCAAGTGGCAACCCCTGCCCTGCCCTGCCCCCACACCCTTCCATCTCCCCACCAGGCCAGAACTGCGCCCTCTCCCCGTGCCCCAGAGCCTGGCATCTCCCCCCAGCCAGCCCTGAGCTGCCTGTGCCCTCCACAACCACGGGCACTCACAGCGCTGCCCATGTCCACAGTGGCTTCTTTGGCGCGCTCCAGGCGCCCTGGCCGGGTGCTGATGGCGAAGGAGCGGGTGATATGGGACGTGAACTCCACTGAGATGCCCACAGTCTGCAGGGGGGACATAGGAAGTATTGGTGGCTGGGGGCACTACCTGCCGGGGCTGGGGCCAGCCCAGAGCTGGGATTGGGGTAGTTGGAAGGCACAGGGCTGTGCCAGGGCATATAAGGGGTCCCTGCGGTGGGGGGCAGGAGGGAGGGTGAGAGGGAGCAAGGGGCAGTGCCAGGGTAGGACATAGCAGCTGAGGGGGGTATAAGAGGCACACTGGGCTATGGTGCATCAGGGCAGGGGGGCACGGGTGGGGGTCGGGGTTCAGAGGTCAGGGCAACACACCGCAACAAGGTTGACGAGGGCGACAGCATTGTAGGGGATGCTCCAGAGGGCCATGGCACCACCAGTGCTCACCAGCACAGACAGCACGGCCACCAGGTTGGCCAGGCCCAGGCGCAGCTCCAAGCCCAGCAGCAGGCAGCTGACAGCAAAGGTGGGCACCAGGCACAGTCCCAGCGTGAACAGTCCCTCGCCCACGATGCTCAGGTACTGCTCATAGAACACGTAGGGCAGCCTGCCAGCCACCCAGCCCCGCTCAGCACTCGCCTGTCCCAGGACCACCAGGGAGTCCCAGAGGGCCCCCATGTGGCACCCACCCCCAGCACCCCTCAGTCCTGGACTCACGAGTAGGGGAAGACGCGGAAGCTCGGGTCGGTGCCAGGCACGCGGCGCATGGAAGCCGTGATGTTAGCAGCCAGTGCCCGTGCGGCTGCCAGCGCCCCCGTGGACTCCCGGG